TTTTTCTCTTACTTCATCTAGGTCTTTATATTTACAATGAGTTTCACCCAGACACGGTGGCACACGCCTGTAATCCCAGCTAGTCAGAAGGCTGAAGCAGGAGGACAGTTTTCAAGCCAGCCTGGGGACCCTGTCTCAAAACAATAAAAAGCACTGGCGATGTAGCTCAGAGGCTTTGGTTCAATCCCCAGTACTGAAAGACAGTAACAAACAATTTTTTAAAAAGCAAGCTTCTCGCCGACAGCAGAGGGCTGAGAACTGTCCGCAGCTTGCAGCACGGGGGCCTGGGCCTCAGGGCTCTCGCTTGCCCCCTGGTGGCGAGCTCTGGGATGTGACCTTGCTGGGCTGCAGGTCGCAGGCAGAGGTTGTGGATCAGGCACCGGGTGGTGTGATGTCCCAGGGCCAGGCTGGGGAATGGGTGGTGTTGGGTGCTTGTCGCTTTCCCACAGTAACACAGCCTGCCTCTGCCGGCCACCACCAGGGGTTTTCCTGTCTCTGGGTCTTTCTCCTGCACAGCCCGTGAAGGGGTGTGGAAAACAACTTGCTTTCTTTCCTCTATTTAAAAAATTTTCTCACTGAGTTGCTCTTGAGAACTTTTGATCCACCTGCCTCAGCCTTTTGAATAACCAGGAGGAGAAATGCTAAAATGAGGGCACTACAAAAAATTTTAAAATAAATAAACAAATGGGATCACTTGGGCTGGACAAATAGCTCAGCAGATTAAAGCACCTGCAAGCAGGGCCAGGGGCCAGGGGTTCGATCCCTGGGCCTGCCATGTCGGCCCCCCAGGGGGCACGCTGAAAAGGCAACTGAGACTGGACGGGGTGCGCACTTGTAATCCCAACTCATGGGAGGCTGTAAACAGGTGGATTACTACAAGTCTGATCTAGTAGTGAGACCCTGAACACCCTGTAGACCCCTGAAATTAAAAAAAAAATTTTTTTTTTAAAGGGATCACTTGTCTTTCTAGTTAGGTAGGCCCAGAGGGGCAGCCCATAGTGCCCAAGGTTCTTTGGGACCTAACGAAGTGTTTAAGTCTAAGAAAGCCTCCACTCCAAAGTGCAAAACTACAGAATAATCCAAATTAACAAGTGCTTCATCAAATGCCTATAAAGTGTCATTGACTGTTAATGTATATCATCACAGTAATTCGTTGTCAGGTTATTAAATAAATTTATGGCCATTTCATTACTTGAAAAGTTCACGAATCAGATGATTTTTAATTCTATGGGCATGTAAGAATGTGAGTGACGCTGGAAATCATGCACACCTATAATCACAGCCCTCTGGGGAGGCTGAGGCAGGAGGATTTCCAGTTCTAGTCCAGCCCAGGCAAGTTGGAAACACAGGTACACCATGTTTCATAAATCAAAAACATAGGGCTGGGGAGATGGCTCAGCAGAATAAGCACTTCCCTGGCAAGTGCAAGGGCCTAAATTCAATCCCTGGTTCAGCAAAAATAAGGGGGGCTGGCCAAATACCTCAGCAGATTAAAGTGCCTGCAAGGGTCCGAGAGATAGCTCAGTAGAATAAGCGCTTGCCTGGCAAGAGCAAGGGCCTGAGTTCAACCCCTGGTTCTGCCAAAGGAAATAAATAAAAAATAAAGCGTGCAGGTGGATGGGCTGGAGGGGGGTTTGATCCCCAGGCCTGCCGTGACAGCCCCCCTCCCCCGGGGAGTGCTGAGATGGCGACTGGGCGTGGTGGCATGCGCCTGTAACCCCAGCTCTTGGGAGGCTGTAAACAGTCCGATCTAGCAGTGAGACCCTGAACACCCTGTAGACTGTTCCCTAACACACACACAGAGAGAGAAAGAGAGAGAGAGAAAGGGCTGGGGGCTGGGGATGTAGCTCAGTGCCAATGACCTGGGTTCAATCCTAAGTATAAAAGAGAGGAAAAAAGAATGCAAACAAGTGCCCACAGAGGGCTAAGAACCAGTGGATAACTACTCCACACATGCGTGGCTCTTAGCAGGGTGCTTCCCAAGGAAACCTTACTGATGGGTTTTTCCGTAGTAAAGACATAGGAAAGATAAAAGAAGCCTTTATTACCTCCAAAGACATGGAGAGGATCAGGGCACATGGGAAAATCCTCCGACCTGAGACCAAGAAAGCCGCGACTTTTACGGACTTTCGCTAGGGGTGGAGTTTGAGGGGCAGTTTAAATTACATTTAAGGGGTTGACTGGGGTCTCTCCTGTGTGTGTGTGGGGGGGGAAGGTGAAAGGAAACTGTATTCAGGACTGGGTTGGGGGGAAGGAGGAAGCGGCCACTGGGAAGATAAGCTGTTGTTTTAAGGGCTTCACCGTAATTTAAGATTATACTACGGCCAGAACCTATCACTTACAAGAGTCACTTCGCAATGTTTTACGATACCAAGTAATATTTAGCGTAGGAATGCTGGGAATTTTAGTGCTAGGTAAGATCGGAGAGGGCAGTCACGGCACCGTACCTCACCTCCCAGGACCCTTCCGGGCCATCCCCCGTGCACCCCAAGCTACATCTGGAAGGGAACGCCTCTCACATCCCACCGCAAGGTGGCGCCGAGAGCTCGGGCTGAGCTGCTCAGGTTCGCGAGACCTGGGTGACCCTCAGGCTTCGCTCTCCCAGCAGGGTCACGGTTCTGGGGCTGCGGCCCCCAGCCCCAAGGCGAGGTGGGGTGAACTCTGACCGCGTTGCCCCGCCCCCTTCCTCCTTGGCTCTGTGTCCCCTGCTCCAGGTTCCGCTTCTCTCCTCTCTCCTACCTGTACCCTCCCCTCCCTCTCCTTGTCTTTCCTTGGTCACCAATCTCCAGATCTCACTCTTGCCCTCCTCCTCTTCTCTGTCCTTCCTTCCTCTATCTTCCTCAGCTAATTTGAGATTAAGCCAGGCATCGTGACACACGCCTGTAATCCCATCTCCGGGGAGGTTGAGGCGTGAGGATCACTGGAAGGCCAGTCGGGGCTACATAACAACTTCAAGGCAGCTTAAACTGAGATCCTGTCTCAAAAGAGTTTCCCTTTCCTGGTCATTTGGACTTTGGGGAAGAGCCAGAAGTACGTGTCAGGCCTGGACAACGGCGTGGCTGAGGACACACCGCGCCCTTCCGTTTGCTGGCACTTGGCCCCAACATTCGCTCTATTTTTTCATCCTTCATAGAGACACTCACAAAAGAATTTGCAGACACGCTTCGGAAAATGGCAAGAATGGCGGGACCTGTGTCTGCAGTGAGGGACGCGCGCAACGTGTCTTTCGACGTAATAAGTTTAAACACACCGCACATTTTGATCTTTGTAGCGGGGTTTTCTTGTAGAACCACGTACTTTAAAATAACAAAAACCTTCCGGGAGAAAAGCTGAGAGACTGACAGAAGGAAACCCTGTTCAGAGCCAGGGCTGGGTCACATGAGCTGGAGATCAGCGGACAAGGGGCAATTTTGCTAGTGTGCCTTTTTAATCCTTTTAAACTTCTGAACCATGCGTCAATGTATTAGCTGCTCAAAATGTACTTATTTCAAAATAATACACTGTTTTTTTTTTTTTTTTTTTTTTTTTTTTGGCGGAACCGGGGATTGAACTCAGGCCATTGCACTTGCCAGGGAAGCACTTATTCCACTGACCCACCTCCCGGGCCCTACTACACTGCATATTAACATATTAAGAAGCATAATTACCTACTAGATTGAGGAAAAAAACACAGGACGTGTGCCGCTCAGTACCAGGACATGTTTGGCACATGTGGAGTGAGTTACCTCTGTCCCCTTCCCACCAAGTTCCCTGCCACACTTGAAGTTCGGGGTACCCACATGAGGCGCCAGCCTGTGCCCTGGCAGGGCTTCCCCTCTGCGCTGTGGTCTTCCCACCAGCCTCACCTCTTGCAGGAAGCTGCCTTCGATCGATCGACAGGCCGCCCATCATACCCCCTGCGGCCTGCTCAGTCAGCCTCCTTGGGCAGGCTGGGGTGTTAACAGCAGCTGCAGACCCGGATCTCCGCCCACACAAGCAGAAGTTTCATTCTCCCCCCCCCCCCCCCCAGCCCTGCTGATTGTCTCAGGGCTTTCGGTTTCCCTAACAGTGAGCTCAACTTCCTGGTAGCTGATAGGGGGTGGGCGGTGGCGGTGGGGATGGCACAGGATCCAGAGATGCGCTGACTCCGGGGAAGGCAGCCTCAATGAGGAAGCCCCAGGGCTTTGGCCCAGCAGGATCAGAGGTCATGGGAGGGACAGGCACAGGGACTGCTGGAAGAGGGGCGCTCAGGCAGGGGCATCACTGCTGGGCTTCCGGGTGGCCATGTGGTGGGTGCAGACCACAGGAGAGGCCTAGAAAAGGCCCTCAGGAGACAGAGAGGCTGGGACCTTCAGGAGGACCCCAGGCCCCAGGGCACAGCAGTGAGGTCTAGGCTGGGCTCCAGGGAGGTGGCCCTAGCCAGGCGAGGACCTGCCTGAGCAACGAGCAGAGACTAGCATTGGTGGGGACAGTGGGTGAAGTAGGAGGAGCCTGGGCCAAGGGACAGGCCTGAGCCACAAGGCAGCTGGGGATTGCATGGTTTCGGTTTCTCCTGCCAGCCCTCCCAGGAAAAGGGATTGCTATTCCTGAAAGCCACTGGTCTTTGGCTGTGGACCCTGGGGCAGGGTGGGGCTTGGCCCAGGACCTGGACTCCACACTTGTGACCATCCAATTAGGCAGTGGACAGTGTGATGAGGCACCTGCCATAGCCCCACTTTTTTTTGGCGGAACCAGGGATTGAACTCAGGCCCTTGCGCTTGCCAGGGAAGCACTTATTCCAATGAGCCATCTCCCTGGCCCCTCCCACTCCTCTTTAAGATGACTTGAGCCCCTCATTCCTCAGGTCAATGTTTGTAGGACCAGCTCCAGTGTATCCTGTCCCTATTTTCTCACAAACCTGTGTCCAACTATAAAGAGGAACAGAGAGCAGGTGTGGATGTCCCTGTCTATAATCCCAGCACTCAGGAGGCTGAGACAGGAGGGTGACTGACAGCTTGAGGTCAGCCTGGGCTACACAGTGAGACCCTAGCTCAAAAAAAGAACCAAATAGAAAAGAGGAACAAAGAGTACCGTGCCCAGACCTTTATGGAGCTTGGAGACCCTCAGGAAGAACTGTGTCTATGCCAGCCTCCAAGCCCAGTGTCTGCCTGGGCAGCAGCGGGGGCACCACCGTGCAGATACCAAGCCCAACCCACACCTGCAGCCTGTGCCCCACACTGAGCTACATGGTGAGCATCACATTTATTGGTCAGGGGCATGGAACTTGGAAGAAGCATGGATGTCAGGGCCTCATGAACTGCCCTGAGCCCCACATCAGGCACATAGTACCTGTGTCCTCCCATAACAGCGAGGCCTGGACTGCTGGGGGCGGGCAGAGCCCACCTATGGAGGCAGCAGCTTCTTCCGGGGGCTGCTACCGCCCCACCCTCTCTGGTTCCTGCTCACACACTTGGACCCACGTGCTTCAGTCCCTCGTGTAGCACAGGCCCAGGCCAGGTGGCATCAGACTATTCCTAGCTGACTGGGTACTTGGCTGGAGACAGCAAGGGTCAGAGTCCACCCGAGAAGAGATGCGCAGGGAGGCCTCTCCTACTTCCTCCAGGGCTCCTGGCTCGGCCTCCACTGCCCTCGCTGCAAGCTGGAGCCTCCTCCTCCAGGGCTAGGTTAGGCTGGGTGACAGGTGTCCCGTGGCAACTGCTACTTCAGGGTGCAGAGCACAGCCTCCAGCTTCATGGCCACAGCTAGGTCACCCTTCACCTGCAGACGCCCGCTCATGTAGGCCCCCAGGGGCCGCAGCTCCCTGCACAGTAAGGCCTGCAGGTCAGCCTCGGCCATCTCCACCACCACATCAGGAATGTGGTCAGGCATTCCACGACCCACCCTGCCTCGCCCTGTGGGGAAGGAAATCAGCTTTAGGGGGGATGGAGGGGTGTACTGAGTGCTGTGGGGAGCTGAGGCCCACAGAAGGAGGCGATACAAGGCCCAGCACACATGGGGCACAGAGGAGGCTGCCACACACACAGCTCATGGCCCAGACGCCCAAGTGGCAGAGAAGTGCTGCCTATGGCAGGGGTGCATCTGACCCACCGCCTGCCAGGAGTTTGCCCCAAACTGCTGTAGTCTAAACCCTGGGTCGGGGGTGCAGGAGCAAGCGGGAAGGGGGGGGCATAGCTGCACCTGTAGTGAGGTCCAAGAAGTAGGTGTTCTGGGCACCCCCAGGCAGGACAATGTTGAACTGGTAGCAGGCGCCAACCTGGCTGACCAGGGCCTCAGACAGAAAGGGCTGCAGGGCCACCAACAGCCCCTCGGCCACTGGTTGCTTTGGGCTAGGCCCGGCCCAAGCCTCAGCATGGACAGCTGGCTGCTGCACCTCGCTCACCATCTCCATGGTATCCACCGATGTGGCAGGAAGTGCTGGAAGGAGGCAGAAAGATCAGTGGTCAGCCAAGGGCAGGATCATGGTGGCCACTGTCCCTTTAGACCTGTTCAACATCTTCTAAGAAGATGTCCATCTTCTGGACACCCCCAGTGTCCAGCTTAAACTCCAAATTATGTCTCTGAGGTACCTCTCCCCCCCAGCCTCTTTCCAGCAACCATCCTGGACAGCTGCCTGCCCTAAAGAGGCTACAAGGTACCTACACCCACCTACATACCCAGAATTGGTTTACCTCCCCAGCTCTGGTCGGCTATATAGTCAGGGTGGCCTAAATACATGTGTGCCCTGCAGAGGTGCTTGGTTGTGGGGCAGAGGGACACCATGCTGCTGAGCATGGCCACTCTCCTCCCCCAGCTCACCTGGCCCTGGGGGCAGTGTGCTTCCTGCCCTCAAGTTCATGCCTCCACCCAGCAGGTGCAGAGCCAGCTGCTGCAGGGTGCTGTCCAGGCTGGGTCCAGCGGGGCTGTCCTGGGGAGGCTGTAGCACAGCCTCCACTGCTAGCTCCACACGGTCCACCTCCAGCCCCCAGGCCCTGGTCACCTCGTTGATCTCCAGCTGAGGACAGGGTGGGAAGGAATGGAATTTGGTCAACAAACTTTGCCTGAACACCTGCTTTGGGATGTGGAGACACTGCACCTGTCCAGAGAAGCTGCCACCCTGGGATGCCCCGTTGAGCCTAAGAGCCGAGACAGGAGGGGCCACATGGGCAGGGGTCAGGGACCTTCCAGGCAATGGGAAAAACCTGCACAAAGTCCAGGCTGAAGAACATGGAGTGTTCAGGAAACTGAGTGGCCCGTGTTCTATTGTGTTGACCCCACAGTTTGGGCTGCCGCAGGGGGTACAGTGGAGGGGTCCAAGATGACCTCTTCCTGCTCAGGGGCTTATTCTGGGCTGCCAGGAACCACAGAGAAGGACTACACAGAGCAGACCTGCTCCTTGGAAAGAAATCCGTTGGTTGCTGTGTGGACACTGGATGGGGTAAGTGGACCAAAGGTAATAGGGGCGCAAACTGCAGACCAGACAGGAAGCAGATCTGGGGAAACATAAGCTAGGTGAAGGTGACAGCTCCTGAGGCGACAGACAGGAACAAAGAGGGAGCAGAGCCAAATGCTGCCAGCAGGTGAGGAATTCCGAGGGCTCACAAGGCAAAGAGGTCATCATGACACAGGCCAGGGCTGAGCCAGGAGACTGGGGATGCCTGGACCCTGGGTGGGACCGGAGGACTGGGAGCCTCCAGTGGAAAAGGGGAAAAGGGGTGTGAGCCGGAGGGGGAATATGGCAGAGGGTCTGCGTGTAGCAAGGGGAGGAGACAGAAAGATGGAGGGAACCCTGGGGAGGTGTGACCAGCACTGCCCCATTAGCTGACAAGGGCGCAGGGCCAGTACACTTGCGTGTGAGTGGCTGAGGAGTCTGCACTCAAGCTGAAAGGCAGGTGGAAGCCAGGAGAGGATGAGAATGCAGGCCTGCATTGGGGCTGGTGGGAGGGCACTGCCTGGCCTGAGATTCAGGGGCAGCCTGAAACATCACCCCACAGCACCAATGCCAAGACAGCCAGGCCACGGGGCCTACGTGACACTCCCTTCCAGGCACGGGACAGGCTCCCTCTGGCTGACCCCCTCACACCCAAGCAGCATCGACAGAGGCTGCACTCATTTCCCTCTTCCTCAAGGGCAAGGAGGGTGTTTCTGTAAATAAGGCTGCCGTCAAGGTGACTCAGGGGGTGCTGGAGGCAGACGGGGCTGCAGCGGGAGGGTGGGTGGTCTGCTCCAACCTGGCTCTGAGAGGCAAGTGGAATCATGTCCGAGCCTTGGTTTCCTCCAAAAGAAAGTACGACAGTAATCCTGGCCCTCCAAGTCGCAAAACTGGGGGAGACTCCAGGGCAGGCCATTGAGACCGCATACCTCAAATCCCTAGGAATTTCACTGAGCTGCCTGCTGATGCCACCGCTAAAGGGACCTGCAGGACGGCAGTGCTTCCTTCTCTCCAACCTCAGCTCCCTTGAGGAAATCAGAGCGGGGAGACGACCTTACCACGCTGCCCACGGAGGACAAGCACAAGTTGAGTATGGCTGCAAGGGACAAGCTACTATGTACGCACTCATTTCTACGCCAGCTGATGGCAAACAGGAAGTCAGGGGAGCTCCAGGCAGTTTTTCATACACATGGAAAAGCCAGGGAAGGGAGTCCAGTGTCCTCATGGACCTCCCTAGCGGTGGCTGGCTGGACTGGGCTGGGGACCCTCCCCCTACCCTGTATCCACTCAGCACAGAACACACAGGGTTCCTGAAGTCCCAGGTTGTTGAAGCAGCAGCAGCGGCAGCAGCAAGGGGTGAAACCTGAGTCAAAGGCAGAGTCCTGGGAATCTCCGCCAGGCATTTCCCCTTCTCAGGGACACCTGGCCCATGGTGGCTGTGATCTGCCCCTGCCTTAAGCAACAGCCCCAGCCAGACCCCCAGCTCTTCAAATCTGGCTACACTATAGGGACACATGGCCAACTGACACCCAGAGCCATCTGGCCCTTGCTCAAGGTGATCTGGGCAGGGCAGGGCAGGGCAGGGCAGGGAAGCCAGGCCTGGTGCCAGCGGCCCAGCTCTCCCTCAGAAGGAGCTGCCTACCAGGAGCTGCTCGCCGACTTTGGGCTTCTCCATCTGGATCTCCCGCAACGGCCTCCGGAGCAAGGCCTTGGTCATGGCGTTCTGGGCTGTCATGCGTGTGGCCGTGTTCAGGTCCTTCACAGTCATTACCGACAGCACTGGGTCCCAGATGCGGAACTGTACGTCAGCCCCAACGGACAGCACAGCCCCGTCCTTGGAGGCCAGCTGGTGGGGTAGCCAGGAGACAAGTCCTGATCAGGGCTCAGGACTGCAAGCGCCACTGGCATGACCCACTCAGCTGACCTCAAGCTCTTTCCAGGCCCCCTGGTGTCCCCAGGGATGTGTGGGCAGGGGTATAGAGTAGGGAGACCCTCCCAGCCTCCTCCTCAACTTTCCAGTCTTTTCTATCCCACATCCCCAGACAACTTCCCATAGACTGAGGTCCTAAAACCCACCATCCACTCAGCATAAAACCCACTCTCTCCACCCAGGGAGGAAGCCAGGAAGCCTTTCATACACATATGTACTAGGGATTGAACCCAAGGCCTTCACACCGAGCTACATCCCAAGCCCTTTTTATTTTGATGCTGGGTCTTGTAAAGTTGCTTAACTGACCAGGCCAACTTGAGATCCTCCTGCCTCAGCCTCCCAGAGCACCTGTATTATAAGGGTACACTGCTACAGCAAGCTAGAAGCCCCTCACCTTGCATGGAGGGACATTGAAGGCTCGTGTTCTCAGATCCACTCTCTGAAAGGAGTCAAGGAAGGGCAGGAGCAGAACCATGCCAGGCCCCTGGGGGTTGCGGATGCGGCCCAGACGGAACACGATCATCCGCTCATAGGTGGGCACAATCTGTCCAAGTGGTAAAGAGAAAGGCTGGCTGATGATGTCTGCCAGGTCCCTCCTCCCCCATCCCCTTTGCCTTGGTCACAATCAGTATTCCTAGCTGTTTCTCGATGAGGAAACCAAGGCTCAGAAATCACACAGCCCCTGCAGGAAACAGGCAGAGATGCCTGCAGTCTGAAGGACTGCAAAGCCCAACGTGTTCATGTCACCCCTAGGAAAATGTCATCTCTACTTGGAAGCTAGCCATGGCTCCTACCAGGAAACCGGCTCCCCGCAGATTCCCTGCGGGAAGAGGCTGGATGACTCTAACAGCACTTGAGCAGAGGCTTTGCCACCTTTAGATCCCTAGGGCCCTGGTGGGATGAAGCTACGTTTAAAGCGAAAGGCAAAGTGACTTGCCCAAGGTCAAGCAGCATTTGTTTCAAGTGGAATTTCAGAACTAGGATCCAGGACCACCCGAGGGCTCCCTTCTGGGTTAGCTACCCTAACCCAGAAACTTTCTCAAGAAACTGGTGCCTAGGGCACTACAAAGGGCTCAGCTACAGCTCTGCCGGTCACTCCTCTTCTGTCTGCTCCACCCTTGTTGAAAATGAGCCCTAACTTTCTATTGCACATGATCTTCCAGGGCAAGCTGGATGTTCCAATTTCTAATTTGGCCTAAACCAAAGGGAGGAGGATGGGACAGCCCATCTCTGTCCACCTTCCAGGACTTGGGAGCTTGGGAAGTCTTGTTCCTACTCCTCCCTGGCTCCTGGGATGACTCTGGATAAATATGGCATGCAGTAGCCTTCTCCGACAAGTGGGGTTCTGGGATGGTGAGGGCTCAAGAGGACACTATCCTCACGAATGGATGCAAGCCAGCTGGAGCCCTGCTCCAGCCCCTTCCCTCTATTCCCCGGCTGCTGTGAAGTGCGCACCTTTCCTCCCCCAGGCCCTGCTGCCCTGATGTTTCTGCCCTGAGCCAGCTGACCATGGACAGAACCCCCTGAAACTGAATCAAAATACTCCTTATCTCCTTTAAATTGTTCAGGTATTTTGCCCCAGAAACAGAAAAGCTTAGAGGTGGGCACTTCCCCTGCCTACTTCACAGGTGTATGATAATATTTAGGGGTAGAAAGCAGAATGCAGGGAATTTATCCATCAATTCCAGAGCCTTCAGTGTGTCCCAACCATGCTGGGGTTGCGCCAGCCAGCCAGCCTTACTTACCTTTAGGGCAAACCAGCCAGAAATGGGGAAGGTGAGCAGCAGCAGCAAAAAGCCCAGGAAGCTGATGAGGCCATGGCAGAGGCAGGAGGGCCAGCTGTGGGGCACATCTGAGGGGCGAGAGAGCAGAGGGGTCATGACACTGGGTGGGCCTGGCAGGACAGCAAGTACCTGTCACCCACCTTCCCCTTCCTTCCACCTCACAGCTCTCAATTTCGCTCCTTGTCAGTAGATCCGTATCTCTGGGAAGGTGGTCATTAGGGATGGTTCTCTCCTCCCCACATCAAAACGAATCCGTCCAAAGCACAGCAACCTTCACAAAAGCCTTAATTCTCAGCTAGGGAGCAGCCCGAATTGCGGAACTGGGGATTGAACTCAGGCCCTTGTGCTTGCCAGGCAAGTGCTTATTCTACTGAGCCATCTCCCCGGCCCCCCTCTTTGACTCATTCAGTTGCCTACCCATGCTTGCTGAGCAGGAAGCACCTGGACATCCATAAACACATGCTGCATTAAACTGAATACTGTTGCAATAACACATCCCTCCTCCACCACTAGCGCCAGCAGATGCGTGCTTTCAAGGGTTCCTTACGGAGATGATGCCTCAGTCTACAGCATGGGAGCAAGAGAGGGGGCTAAGATTTTCTTTCTTAGTCCTCATCCCATTTTATGCCTTGACGTCCTTCCAAAATTTGTATTTCAATTCCAGCAGCTGGGGCGGGGGGAGGGAGGGGTTGGAAACTAAGAAGTGAAGTCTCATTCAGGCCAAGAGAGATCCTGGAGCCCAAGATGGAAGCGCACAGAGACAGTCAGAATCAGACACGAGCCAACTCTCTGCTCCCCTTCTCTCAATCCAGAAGAAGCAGCAGACAAGAGCCTTCGTTTCATCTTTCGGAAACCCCAAGCCCCAAGGCATCAAGACTCAGCTCCCCGCCTGGCTGAATCTTTGGACAGGGTAGTCATCCGTGCAGGAGGGGCAGGGAGGGCGCAAATCCTCCAGTCATGCTCGAACGTGCGGGACCTAGCCTGGGCCAAAGGAGCTGCAGAATGCTTTGGGGCAAGACAGGGCCAGAGCAGGCACAACCAGGAGCTGCAGACCTGCCTTTCTGCTCCGTGCATCTTCACCAGCCAACAGGAAGACACCCCGCGGGTACTGGTGATCTCTTCTGCCTAGACCTGGGTTTCTTTCATTGCTTAAGGAAACTTAAAGCCTCTATCCGAACAGGGAAACGTGATGGGGCGAGGTTCGAAGACCGAGGCACCGCACATCACCTCGCATCCCTCGGACGCCCACGAGTCAGAGGCCGGGCCTGGGGGTACCACAGTCCCCCGGCCTGCCATGCTGGGGGCCACTCACCGGCCCCCGGCCCCACGCCGCCCCGCTCCGGCGACAGACACCCCTTCTGCTCGCCCAGAAAGCCGAAGCTTGACTGCTGGAAACGGTCAAAATCCCCCAAGGGCAGCGCGCTGTAACCGTCCCGACCTAGCATGGTTGCTAGGGAAACCACACTCGGCGCTTGCGCCGCGCCCCGGCGCGCGCTCCCAGCCCGCAGTTTCCGGGTTCACCTGCGGCCGCAGGCAAGAGCGAGAGCGGGAAGCCGGCCGGGCTGCACCCGCCTTCCACAGCGCCCCCTGTGCCTGGAGGTCCGAACTGTGGGCACGGGGAGAGGGCGTTCTGGGCCGCTTACAGGGGTCATTACCCACTCGTCCTGGCTCTCACCTCACTTAAAAGGTGAGGGGATGGTGGGCTTCCCAAGAAGATATCCAGTAGCCACATCTCCAGGATCAAGGGAATGAGGTTATCAGCACCCCCTCTCCAAACTCACACACTGGACTTAGGGTTTCTCCGGACTGTATTTTCTTGTAGTTAGCAAATAATTCCTCCTCCTGTCCCCACAGTGCAGCAAGGCTATCACGGGGCAGATCTCAGCACCCATTCGTTGTGTCATGTGTCGTCAGCTCACTGCGGACAAGGTGGGGCAGAAAGCCTTGAATTTAGGCATATGGGGAAACTACATGCAGGCCCCTCAGGGAGCCCAGTGAAGAACTCTGTAGGGGCAAGTCATCAGGCACCATAAACAGCAGAAATTTCACCCTGAGAAGCATTACCTTCCAGCAGGATGTTACTGGGGTCGGCTTTCTTTCAACTTCAGCAAAGAAACTAATAAAGCTTTCCCAGTTTTACCTCGTTGGTTCCACCCACCATCCCCATCATAGCCCATTTCTTTGTGTTGTTTTTGTTTTAGGGCTTTTTTTTGTGTGTGTATGTGGTTTTGAATGTTTTGTTTTGTTTGAGATAGGGTCTCACTGTGTACTTCAGGCTGGCTTTTAACTCACTATGTAGCCCAAGCTGGCCTTGAATTCACAATACACCTGCCTCAGCCTCCCAAGTGGTAGGGTTGGGGCTGGGGAGATGGCTCAGTGGAATAAGCACTTCCCTGGCAAGTACAAGGGCCTGAGTTCAATCCCCGGTTCCACCAAAAAAAAAAAAAAAAAAAAAAGCAAACAAAAAACAAAAAACAAAAAAAAAACCCAACAAGTGGTAGGTTTACAGGCCTGATCCATGCCCAGCTCCTTTTGTTTGCTTGTTTTTTGAGACAAGGGCTCGATCTGTATTCCAGCTTAGCCTCAAACTCAAAGCAATCCTCCTGCCTCAGGAGGAGTGCTGGGATTATAGATGTATACTGCCATGTCTGGCTCATGGCCCATTTCTAGGTCTCTTCTGCAGACGGTTGCTCATCATGCTTGAGTTTCCCTGGTTTGGTGGACTGATTTTCTGGGTGCCGGGAGGTGTTGAATCTGCCTCCAGCCCCACCTGAGTAATACATGCAGGTGGTTAGCTTTACAAGAGCAAGGCTCTGCCACCATCCCCTTTTAGTTTGTCCCACCTTGGAACAGAACACAGAAAGGGCACACAAGCCATCACAGTGGTGAAGTTTGAAATCAGCCGTTCTGGCCCAGTATGGCTGCCTATAGCTGGAGTCTAGCCGGAATTTCATGAGCCAAGTCTTAACTTGAGGTGTCTTTATCCTCCCCCCTGGTTTTTTTTTTTTAGAACCAGGGATTGAACTCAGACCCTGGCAGCGCTTATTCTACTGAGCCATCTCCCAGGCCCCATTAACTCCCTTCTTGACTGCCACTCAACCTATCATCCTGTCCCTCTCATCTTCCTCTCAGTCTTTGCCTCAGTTTCTTTCCTTTCTTTCTTTTTTTTTTTTTTTTTTTGGTGGAACCGGGGATTGAACTCAGGACCGTGCTTGCCAGGGAAGTGCTTATTCCACTGAGCCATCTCCCCAGGCCCAGGCCCCTCTGGCTCAGTTTATTTTGTATCCTACATCCAATCATTGAGACTAGGTCCCTTGTCACTAGGCTGTCTGAGTGACTGTCCCAACCTGCAGGACTGATCCTGTGGTTCTCCTGATCCAAACTCTTCACTATGTCACCTCCATAATGGGTCCAAACTCCTTAGCTACTATCTCACCCTGGCATATTTCTCAGAGTCCTCTCTTCAGCTTGAAAATGGCCTACATCCCTCCCCAAACTGGCTGTCCCATTGTAAACCCCCATGCTTTTTTGTTTGTTTGTTTTTGCAGAACCGGGATTGAACTCAGGCTCTTCCCAGGCAAGTGCTTATTCTACTGAGCCTCTCCCCGGCCCCTATCCCTCCCCAGGCCTTTTGCACATACTGATCTCTCCTTTTTAAGTGGCCCCACCCCTGAATCCCTAGTGAACCCACCGATCCCACAAGACCCAGCTGAGGGGTCTCTTTTGAAGCCAGTCGCAAAACTATGAAAGTCTCCCTTTGAGGGTCAGCTCTTCCACTAGATCAGGTTCTTTGAAAGCAGGGGCTGTATGTGATTCATCTCTGTGTCTGGTCCCAGCAGAGACGGGGCTCAAAGCTGTTTGGGGCTGCTTCTCTCGTCGGGTGGTGCAGCCCTCCTTTTGCGCAACTTGATATCCTAGGCAAACCCAACGTCTCTACCTCCAGGCCAGCCCTGCCTGGCTGACTTCCTCTCGGGAGGCGGGCCCTGAGCTTGCACCTCCCCTTTGGACAGCCCCCGCGGCTCAGCCCTAGTTCTCCCGCCTTGCCGACATAAGCGGAGAATCGAAACTGCGCTGGGCTCTATGCCGCAGAAACCTGCAGCCACTAGTTCTCCAGGCCTCCAGCAGGACTCCGTCCCGCCCAGCTCACCCACCATGCCGCCTCCGGAGGTCTCCTCTGAAGGCCAACAGTCCAGCCACAGCCACAGCCCGGTAGAGGTACTAATGGGTCTGGGGAAAAGGGGGTTAGGCGTTATTGGTGTGCTGCCGCGGGAGAGCTGGGCATAGCCAGTCATCGTGGAGAACGTGGCGAAGCAACTTAAAGTAACCCTCAGCGAGAAGGCCCCGCGGGGTCCTGACCGTCGTGGCCGCAGGAACAGCGGCAGAGTGCGTAGGACAGAGCAGAAGGGAGCCAGAACGGGCCATCGGTCCTTCTCTGGGCAGCTGGAACAGACTCTCGCCCACCCTGAGCCTTATCTTCCAGCCATGCCCCAGATGCGGGGCTGCAGTTTATGAGGCATGAAGGTGGCGCCCTGCAGCACAGCCTGGAGCAAGGGTCACAGCTCAAGCGCGGCAAAAGCAGAAATCCCAAGTTCCCAGGCTGGAAATGGAGACCCGTGGTCCACACTGGAGATGTGCTTGGACCAAGGCCTCCATCCAGCTTCTGTGGCTTCTCTCAGACCTTCTCTTGAAACCCCTTCCTGGCTACTCTGTACCCCAATGGGCTTGTTAGGCCTCCTTCCTGGAAGTCTTGCCTTAGACTTGGGGCACCCCAACCCCATCCCAAAAGGAGCCACTTAGCTCCCTTGTTCTGTGTTCTGCCAGGAGTTTACTGCCTTTCCTCGTGAAAGTACAAGTCACTCCATGGGGCTATGGTTTTGATTATTAGCAGTGAGAACAATTAATTATTAATCAACACTCAGGAGCACGTTCGCTCACCAGATACTGTAGTGAGCATATTTGGGGGACTTCCCTGTGGCGGTAGTCGGGAAACAAGCACAAAAGTTAGCCCATTAACCATGTCTAAGTGCAATTCAGTACATTCACATTTGCATGTTAACTTGCCACCATTTCCAGGACCTCTTCCATCACCCCAGAAATGCTGCCTCTGTAGACAACAACACCTTGTTCCTAGATAATTTTTATTTTCTTTTAAGTGTGTGAACCTGGCTATTCTATATAAATGGAACCCTAGGGTTATTAGTTGTTATTTGTTCCACTGAGCATGAAGTCCTAAAGTCTTGTCGCATGTATCAAAATTTCGCCCCTTTCCAAGTCTGTCTATGGCCTCATTTGCTTGTGGACACTGGGTTGGTTCTTTCTGCCTGTGGTGACTAGTACTGCTACCTGTGTTAGAGTACATTAGAGGACAAGTATCTGAGTCTTTGTTTTCAGTTCTTTGGGGCATGATATCTAGAGTAGAAGTATCGGAGATGTTTGATCCTTTTGGGTATTGTATCTACTAGGTGAATTGCTGGGGCAAATGGTAGCTCTCTGTTTTGAACTTTCTGAGCTCCTTTTTTTTTTTTTCCTTTTTCCTTTTTTTTTTTTTTTTTTTTTTTTTTTTGGCAGAATGGGGGATTGAACTCAGGCCCATGTGCTTGCCAGGGAAGCGCTAATCTGAGCTCCTGCTTGTTCAACATTGTACGTGAGGTTGGTAGTTATCGATGTACTTTCCACACTGCGTTCCTTGAAGGCAGGCGTGTATCCTCTGTCCTCTTGTTTCTCAAGGTGCAGGTCTGTCTAATATCAGGGAAGTAGATGCTCAACTAACTGTGCATGGGAGCTGGAAATCCTGAGCAGGTGTGGCCTTGGGGCGTTGTTGAGTCACGATTTCGCATCATCTGGCTAGCTAGGATGTCAGATTCCACTCCAGCCTGTGGCCAAGGGGCTGTGCCATGGGTGGAGAGTGCTGGAACTTCTCTGGGCCTTACTTCCCCCTCTTTGGTCCCCCAGGAATCTGTGGAGGAGGAGTTCCAGTTCCTGAACTGCCAGGGCTGCCAGACCCAGGCCAAGTGCCCCAAGCTACTGCCCTGCCTGCACACGCTGTGCTCCACATGCCTAGAGGCTCCCAGCCTGCAGTGCCCCATCTGCCAGGTGCCCCAGCTGGCAGGTTCTGTGCAGGCCCTGGACAATGTGTTCTTCGAGAGCTTGCAGCGGCGCCTGATGCTGTACCAACAGATCATGGATGCCCAGGCCACCTGCACCCGCTGCAGGGAGCCGGCCGACTCCTGGTGCTTCGAGTGTGAGCAGCTGCTGTGCACCAAGTGCTTTGAGGCACACCAGTGGTTCCTCAAGCATGAGGCGCGGCCACTGGCCGAGCTCCGCCAGCACTCGGCGCATGAGTTCCTGGATGGCACACGCAAGTCCAACAACATCTTCTGCTCCAACCCCAACCACCGCAACCCCACACAGACTAGGTGAGTAGGTGCCCAGGGTGAAGTGCACAAATCTGAGCGGGGAAGAGATGGGGCGACCAAAGACGCAGAGAGGCGTGTGCTTCAGGGGCCCTGTAGCTAGGCACGGGGCCTGCAGACCTGCAGCATGTACGATGGTGAGCCCAGTCGATGCCACCTGTCTCCTCACAGGTGGATCCTAGTTAGAATCTGCAGTGTCCCCATAGTAAATATTTCTGCTGAAACAGTGTTGCTTTAGTGGTACCGCAGCAAGTTGGATGGGTACAAATATTGCACATTTTGAGCAAAGCAGAGTAATGCCCACCTGTGATCTCAGTACTCAGGAGGCTGAGGCAGGAGGATTGCTGGCAGTTTGAAGCCAGCTGTATAGTGAGCTCAAGGCCAGCCTGAACCAAATAGTGAGATCTTGTCCCAAAAACAAATAAAAATTGTACCTTTTGATACATGTCACCAAACGCCTTTAGAAAAGTCTTAACAGTTCAATTTTCCATAAACACCACTAGAGACTCTCCGTGGGACTGGATTCTAAGGATCACACTCTAAGGCTAGGTCCTAGGATCAGATCAAGCGAGGTAGTTTCCTTTTGAAAAGTCTAAATGACAAGCAGTGCTTTCTGGGAGTTTCTATAGGAAAAGAAAAAAATAAATAAAACAAAAAACCTACTTATTTTTATTGAACAATCGGTTTTAATTTCATCGTTGAAAGAGAGAATGCATTTATATCGTTCACAAAGTCTACACCAAGAGCAGTGTCGTGTTCCACTGCCATCTAATTCCCACCTCTTCTCCCGCCCTCTTTCCTCCATCCCTCCCTTCTCCCCCACCCCCTCAGCAGCCATTGTTACTCTGTAGTTTGGGATATTTCCTTTTTCAGAAACATGATGCAGATAGGATGGGCAGCCCTGTTTTGGCGGAACCGGGCATTGAACTCAGACCCTTGCGCTTGCTAGGGAAGTGCTTATTCCATGGAGCCATCTCCCTGGCCCCCCATAGGGTCTTGTTGCCCCCTTTTAGCTAGGAAGTGAGTACACACAAGTGAACTTTTCACCTCAGGGAAGGCGGTAGGCCTTTCTCGGGTTTCCTAGTGCTTCCCTGCAAGGTGTCCTTGACCCTTTTGACATTCAGCTTTCTGTGCTTACCTCTTAAGCTTTCTTTCCTACAGGCAGAATTTTTCTGTGTCTTCAGCTGCTTATACTATTGGTTTATTTGCATTTCTTTTCATTAAGGCTGAATGGCTTTTGGGTCTGTTTCTTACTGCTTATTGGCTATTGTTAGTGTTTTTTTTCCTGCAGGAAGTGCCTCTTTAGAGCCTCAGCTGGGGCTTCCCCCTTTGAGGAGTGTCTCTTTGTTTTGAAGAGCCCAGAGAGTGCAACTGTCCTAGTGTTTTGGTACTGGGTATTGAACTCAGGACCTTGTGCTTACTGGGCAGGCACTGTGCTGCTGAGCTACATCCCAGCCCTCTAGTGTTGACTTTTGTCATTTCACTTAGTATGTGGTTTGATGTTTACAATGCAAGTCTTGTTTCAGTTTTTTGTTTTTGTTGGTACTGCTGACTGAACAGAGAATCTTAACAGTGAGCTGTATCTCCAGCCCTTTTGATTTTTAAAAAAAATTTTGACTCAGTGTCTTGCTAAGTTGCTAAATTGCTCAGGCCGAGCTCAAACTTGGGATCCTCCTGCCTCAGCCTCCCAAAGTACTAGGATTACAGGCATGAACCACCACACCTGGTTCAGTATCACTCATCACTTGGTTTCATTGTTCCGAACCACCCAAGCAATATTGTACAACAGTGGCTAGAGAAGGGAGCTTTGATTTGTTCCTATCTTTGGTGAAAAAATTTGTTTTCTTATTCACTATGTTTATTGTTAGTTTCTGTAGGTGATTTTTTTAAAAAAAATCACATTTAAAAAGTGGGTTTCCATTCCTGGTTTATTAAGTATTTTGTTGTTGTTATTATTTTGTTTCATTTACACTCAGGTATAGGTGTGTGCTGCGACTCTATGAAGGTATTCTGAAATTTCATCTTTTAATATGATGAACTAAGTCAATATGTTTCTTTATGTGGAATTTTTTAATTATCAGAAGGAAAACCCTTGGACTGAGGAGATGGCTCACTGCAATAAGTGCTTGCCTGGCAAGCGCAAGGGCCTGAGTTCAATCCCCAGTTCCACAAAAAAAAAAAAAAAAAAAAAAAACAAGAAAAAACTCATTTGGGACCGGGGAGATGGCTCAGTAGAATAAGTGCTTGCCTGGCAAGTGCAAGGGTCTGAGTTCAATCCCCGGTTCCGCAAAAAAAAAAAGGAAAACCCTTGCTTGTTCATGATATACTATTATTTAAATTCATAGCTAGATTCTATATAGAAACTTTTAAAGGGCCAGCCAAATAGCTTAGCGGATTAAAGCGCCTGCAAGTAGGCTCAGAGGCTAGGGGTTCGATCCCTGGGCCTGCTGTTCCAGCCCCGACCCCCGGGCACACTGAGGTGGAGATTGAGACTGGGTTTGGTGACATGTGCCTATAATCCCAGCTCTTGGGAGGCTGTAAACAGGTAGATCACTATGAGTCGATCTAGTAGTGAGACCCTGAACACCCTGTAGATCCTTACCTAAAAATGAAAAATTAAAAAAGAAACATATTGATTAGATTATTAACTGTATTCATAAATGTAATTAACTTAGAGGAAATATGTGTGATTTTTATGATACGCTTATCTACTTTGTACCAGTCTATTTCATGAATTTGGAAACTTTTTTCTTTCTTTTTTTTTTTTTTGGAAATGATAATGATGCAGGGATGATATCAGAAACTCCAAATATGATATAAGGGAAATATGACTCAACCTGCTAGGTGTCTGATAGGCCAAGTTCATGTTCTCTAAAACTAAAAAGTGAGGGGCTAGGGAGATGGCTCAGTAGAATAAGTGCTTGCCTGGCAAGCACAAGGGCCTGAGTTCAATCCCTGGTTCTGCCAAAATCAATCAATCAATCAATCAAACTAAAAAGTGAATTCTAAGAACCATGGAGGTTTAAGAATAGGAAATGTTTATTGAAGGATAGAAAAAAACTCTTTTGACTGAGAGGGACAGGAAGGGACACCCAGAAAGTGGAACTTTCCAAGGAAGTGTTAACTTCGTAACGTTTTAATTTCTAGCCTCCAGTCTTCTTCTTTTTTTTGGTGGAACCAGGGATTGAATTCAGGCCCTTGCGCTTTCCAGGGAAGTGCTTATTTCCACTGAGCCATCTCCCTGGCCCCCCTCCAGTGTTCTTTTTTTTTAAATTTTTATGTGTGTGTGTGTGTGTGGCCAGCTCAGCCCACCAGAGGGTGGGGCTGGCTGGCATGTGGTGCTGGGGGATTGAACCGCGGTCCCTGTGCTCTGCTAAGCTTGTTCTAAGTAGGTGCTTTAGACCACTGAGCCATC